AGATTCCATTCACAAAAGAATCAGATAGAGATATATACGGCTCCCCAAATTTAGTGCCACTAATTAAAAGAGAGGGAGGGAGGGAGAGAAACCCTACTGACTAGAGGACGGTGGCACAGTGGTTAGAGTGCAGTACTGGTACTTCTGCTTACTGCCGGCTGACTGCAGTTTGGCAGCTCAAATCTCACCAGGCTCAAGGTTGACTCAGCCTTCCATCCTTCTGAGGTGGGTAAAATGAGGAGCCAAATTGTTGGGGACAATATGCTGACTCTGTAAACTGCTTAGAGAGGGCTGTAAAGTAGTATATAAGTCTAAATGCTATTGCTACATGGATTCATGCTTCCATTAATTCTTGTGACAGCACATGTTGATAGTGGCCAATGTTTTCTTTTAGATGTCTTTTAACTCCACAACACAGCCCAAAGTCCTAGTATTCCCTGGAGATTCCCATTCAAATACAAATGCAACCACATATATTGCATTGTCCACATGCAGGTGCTCTATCCTGCAAGGTTTCCCACTCCACTCTTATCCCAGTCAAGGCCTCCAGTTCAGACAATCCCTTGAACCTGGGAGGAAAAGACTTGTGGCAAAAGAGTTTGGAACAAGAACTGGCTTAGCTCCAGTTGGTCAGAAAGGTCTACTGTGGAACTGCCCCTTTCTGTCCAGTTCTAGGGCTTGGCACCTGTTCTGCGAGACGGGCTGGCGGCAAGGAAGACTGGCTTCTGCAGTCACCTCGTCCTTTTTAACTGGGTTGGTTGACTCCTTCACAGCTGACCTAGAAATAGACTGGCCCATCCCTGCTTTAGAGACTGTAATTAGAAATGCAAATGAAAAGAGTCAGTTCTTGCATTTTCCTGCATAGTGGGCAATTCCCTTCACAGTCACCCTGGTCAGCCTTAATTTAATGTTTGTAGGATAGTGTATAGCTGTGGAGTCATTGGTGCTCTCTGGGCTTAGTGATTTTCTTGCAGACATTTCATTATAGCACAATCCTTTCTCTGTTTCCAGCTCTTCAACAAGACAGGTTCAAAGTTAGCAGCTAACCGTGAATCTTTTTGCACTTTTTTACTTTAATCATTAAATGTTTTCAACAGCTTTTCTTCTTTCGTGCTAGCATTGATGCTTTATTTTGTTGTTTTGAATGTGGATTAACTGCCAAGGGAAGTGAACATATGTAAAAGAGCCTTGCAAGGTCTTCTACTTCACTGCAATGCCGTTCTATGCTATTATTCCAAGTCTTAAGATCCTCATATTTTCCAAACATCCCATATCACCGAACTGACAAATAGAACAGCTCACCACCTTACAAGTCTCAACGTTTAAATACCTACGGGCGGTTTCACAAGCTTCCAGAGCCCAAAATGCCCCTCAGGATTATGTATCCCAAAGGGCATAGAAGTCAGCCTCAGCAATGAAGATCTTTTATTTTAATACAGATACACAGTTCATTCCAAGCTGTTCTTAAGTTATTTACAGTTTTGCTTAGTTCAGAGATTTCTACCATGAGATGGCAACATGAATTCAGAAGAGCTTTATCCTTGGTTCATTTTAACCACAATGTTGGAAGGAAAGTACAAGAAAATCTGGTCAAACCATGGTGCCTTTATGAGGCAGGAGCAAACTTTTATGATTCTATTATTTAAGAAAACCTACAGCCCATGTTTTGTTATGCAGCCAGTTCTACAGAAACATCCCTTTGCAATTGATTTTCCTCCTTTTCTTAAAATTCCCAGGGTATTCTTACTCATTTACCTTACATCATCTATTAAGCAACACAGACAAGTAAGTGCTGCTGAGTTTTGTTATGAGGTGCATAAACTCCACCTACTATGAGTCTTAATAGTTAATGGTTATGCACTGCTTAATCATTTCCTTTTTTTTTCTGACTGTGACCATAATGAAGTCTAGCCTAATCTAATCCTAGGATAATGGCAATCTAAACATGTTTTAAGCAAACTTATTTAAAGAAATACTTAATGTTTGTAATTAAGAACATCACACATAGGTGTCTTTCCCACTGCAGCCCTGAATTGTAAGAGGAGCATGCTAGAAAGAGAAATACAAACCTTTCGGTCTCTCCAGCCACATACTAGAACAACGGTGTCAAACGTAAGGCCTGCAGACCGGATCCAGCCCGTAATGTGGTTGAATCCAGCCTGCGGAGCTGTCCTGGAAGTGTAAGGGGCCGGCCCATGTCACTTTGGCCCGGTCTACCCAATATGAAGAGGAAACATTAGGCTAGCGTGGCTTCAGCCTGGTCTACCCAGTGCAAAGAGGAAACATGCCAGCAGTTTGGGGAGTGGCATCAAGCTGGCCACACCCACCCAGTCAGACACACCTATCCAGTCGGACACACCTCCCCCAAGGTCAACCACGGTCCTGATGCAGCCCTCAATGAAATTGAGTTTGGCATCCCTGTACTAGAAGGAAAGAAGAGGATGAGGTGGAAGGTGGAAGCAAGTTGGAAGCTCATTACAGTGGCGAGGAGTGCACCATTGGAGACTTGAAAAAAGGATAGGTTAGAGATAGGCTGTCATAGTTCAGAGTTTTCCATTCTTTTTATGTTCTGCTAATATACCTCCTGGCTTTCAATTCCTGGCAAATTCTACTTTCCCTTCTCACACATGGGCCCCGAACATGGAATTAAGTGTAAGAAAATATCAAGTATTTGCTTAATGGAAAATTATTGCATTATTCTCAGCAGATGGTAGATGCTTCCCTGGAGGTTTAAACAAATATATTCAGTTATATTAATAGAATGCTCATGCTATAAATATCAGAAAGAAACATGCCACGTATAGGGCAGAATTTCCCTGTTATGGAAAAGAATGGTTACAGATAGCAATGTAAATAGATTTAACAGGAACAGAAGTTCCGTGGACCCCTTTATGCTAATTTTGTTTAGCTATTTGAAATGAATCAAATCTGATTCAGACATTGAATTCTTTCTATTTCAACAGTCTCCAAAATCAGATGCTCTGGAGTTGTATTTGCATATTAAGAACCTCAGCCGCTATATGTCTGCACTGAGTTCCCATGTGGGCAACTAATTCCCAGATAAGAATTATTGGGTCTAAAATCAGTGCATCTACAAACTTATGCCATTTCCTTGAAGCTCCATTCTATCAAAAGAAAGATCGCATGCTAGTCTGCAATAGATGAAGGGCATGCATGCTATTTGATGGGCCAAAGACTAAGAAAATTGAATTTTGATTTAATTTAAAGTAAGCTCAGAAGGATTGATGTGACTCCTCTGTGTTTTAATGTACTGATCTCATATTAAAAATTATAGTTAGTGAGACACCAGTTTTTGTGGACTTGCAGATTCAGTGGTAATTCCTCATTCTGGGTAATTTTTAATTGTAATAGAGAGGAAGTGGCAATGAAACAAACCTCCAATTTTGATTGCTTCAATTTTATCACTGAAAGAAGTAATATCCATACGTATGAACACTGCATATATCGTGATCATGAAAATCACTTGCCTGGTTCCTAACATTATATATACCTTATAGCACTGCATCCTGATTCATCTAGGGCAGGGGTGTCAAACTCAAGGCACGGAAGCTGAATCCGGCCTACAGGGTGCTTAGACATGGCCCACAGGGCCGCCCTGGAAACAGCAAAGGACTGGCCCGCAGTGCCTCTGAAGGCAAAAATGGAGCTCGGGAAGGCCGCGTGCAGCCCTCCCAGGCCCTGTTTTCAGCCTTGATGGCCTCCTGCAGCCCTCAGAGCTCCATTTTCGCTAGCAGGGTCTGCAGGAGGCCGTTGCAGCTGAAAACGGGGCCTGGGGGGGCATGTGTGGCCCACCCAACCTCCATTTTCACTGGCAGAGAGCTGCAGGAGGCTGTTGTGGCTAAAAATGGAGCTCAGGAACCCATTTTCGCTGTCAGAGCACTCAGGTCATCACAGGCGCCCCTGACGAATGATGACCCGGGATGGGCCTGGCCATACCCTGGCCAGGCCCATCCCGGCCTCCGAGGTCATACACAACCCTGATGTGGTCCTCAATGAAATCAAGTTGGACACTTCTGATCTAGGGCCTTTCGACTCCATGGTCTATATGTTGTGAGATTAAGAGCCAGAAAGCATATGCAGATGCACGTGTCCACATGCTGTATAATATATACATTAACACCTCTAGGAGAGACAGTAGGAGGCAGGACAGGAAAGAACCCAGCCTTCCCAACCTCTCAACAATTCTGCCTCCAGACTTCAAGTTTCCTGTGGTGGGTGACCCTGATGTCACCATGCCAAGAACAAGCATTACAGGCAGATGCGTGTAGTTCAGTCATTTCTGGGGGAATACAAAACCAAAATTATGGCCACTGAGCAACTTCCCAGCCGACACATATGATATTTGGAGAAATAAAAAACATTGAGATGCTAGTCTATAAGACCTGCATAGCTATAACTGTCTGCTTTTATAAGAAAAAGAATCAAAGTACAATCTCAAAGAGCATATGTTAGGAGATGAGCTCAAAAGAATACAAAACCAAGGCCACGTCAATTATAGCAAAATTGTGGATAATAGGACATTGATATATAAGGAAATAGTTATTCTTACCTTTCGGGATGGAGTGAATTACTTTCTACTCCATTCAACATAAATGTGTTTATTCAAGTATTTGTTCTAGATCTGAATTTATGATTCGATTTAACTACACTTCTGCTTTGTACAATGTGTCACCCCAAGAATTATCTTGTACATAAAACAGAAACATTTAGAAGTCTGAGAAAAATAAATAAATAGCACAAGTCTGCCACCTGGAGTGATACAGTTAAATCTTCAATAGAGCCAAACAATGCAATTGGGGGTATGACATACCTTGCCACATACATCAAAATCCTATGGGAAAATCACATGGAAGCCAATGGATCTTTCCCTCAAGCATCTTATTTTTCCAATACAAAAGAAGAAAAAGGGGGGGAAAATGTAGGACTGATCTCTACCCAGAAGAAAGGATGGATGAAGTGAGTACTGCCTTAAAGGAAAACAACTATTTAATCTTTCTTTCATATTCAGGGGAGTTGTTCACCTTTACAATGTATTTGGCGTTGGTGCTGTTCAGTCACCTTTCTGAAGTGAACAGGATTGATGTATTTGAAGGAGCTCTTTAGCAAGGGCTTCCTTGTAAATTAAATACCTTTGAAGCTGCCACTGGTTCCTGTCAAATATGGATTATTATTTTTTTGTCCTACCCTGAACTCATGCAAAATACAGGGCTGACCAGAAATCAGTTAGTGCATCCCATGCAAAGCTCATGTGAGTTTTGGGAAGATGAGCTTATTAATGAACACTAGGACCACTCGAATTTTTCCTGGACCTACAGCTTTTCATTGGAAAGATGCTTCTCCTTCTCATACCTCTCGGAATTTTCTCCTCCTTCCTTTTTTTTAAGTACTACTACTGGTACTTATGGTACTACTGGTACCATAAGCCAAATCATGATGATGCCATTATTTAATTCATACAACACACTGAAATCTTAATTACACAGGGTGTGTTTCCCTGAGTTGGAACTTTATCTTTTTTTCTAAACAACGACAGACACACCCACACACCCTTCAGCACTGCATTGCTGTGCCATAAGCTGTACGTAAGGCAACCCTTCCGGCCTCCACATTGGCTCAACCTCTACTGTGAATAGAGATCCCTGGGTTTTTTCCCTTTCTGCACATCCTCCAATTCTCGCCTCCCATCTGGGACGGAGGGCAGAGTTCCTCTCCTCCGAAGCGGAGCCTTAGCGTTGCCGGCAGTCGAGCCTGAACTGTGGAAAAGCAGCTGCTCTCGAGGAAGAAACCCTGGGAAACCCCGCTCGGAGAGTCCGGCAGGCTGGGCGAGGGAGGCGGGGGCCGCCAGCGGAACTGAGCCGACCCTCTTCCAGGTCGCAGAGCACTACAGGGCGGCTCCCTCCCTCCCCTCCCCGGCTCCTTTCCCAGCCTAGCCTGAGAGCAAAAGACCAAGGCTGGAAGAGGCCATCGGGGGTTCCCGCTTTGCCCTGGAAACAGGCATCTTCTTGTGCTTGGCTCCTTTCACCTTTTTGCTTGGAGATGCTTCGTGGGGGTGGAAGGGGCGTCTGGCACGGATAGGATGGGCTGGCTCGGCTACGCCAGGCGAGTTGGGAGAGCAACTCGGGCTGTCGACGGGGAGGAGGAAGGAATGGCCTGGCGCCTCCTGGTGGCCGCTCCAATGGCTGTTTGGAGCGGGGGGGGGGGACGACGACTAAATCAAAGCAGCAAAAACTTTATTCCTTTATTTTTAATCTCCTGCATTTCCTTACAATCTCCTAGCCTGTTCTGTGCTTTTATAATATTGCTCACCTGATTGGAACTAGCAGGATGGGCATCTATGCATTCCCAATTATTGCATTATTATGGCTAAAAATGTTTTTCGGCATATGTTCCTACTCTAAAATGGTAGGTGTCTTAATTTAACTTCTACAGTCAATCATCTGAAGAGGGCTAACAAAAGGGAAGAACTTGATTTCTAAGCTTCAACTTTGTGGATTTTTCAAGATGTGAATCGCTGCGTCAACAGGTGTTTGTCTGAAGTTTAAGAGAAAAGAGAATGGAATCAGGGACTCCATGTTCAATACGTGGAGAGGAAATGCACTACTACAAAATAAGTACAGGAAATAAGGCTATAAAAACTATGTGTGATGTAATAATAATCCAAGTAGTCTCATAATAATCCAAGTAGTCTTTTCTTTATGTATACTGAGAGTATTTACACCAAGACAAATTCGTTGTGTGTCCAATCACACTTGGCCAATAAAGTATTCTAGTCTAGTCTAGTCTTTGAGATATGAGTGCAATTGACTCCAGACATGGTATTGGGGCTATTTGCCCCGGTGCTACAACGACAGGGCGTCTGGCTATTTCTGTTTTTTCACACAGGTTTAACAGTTCATCTTTTGTTAAAAAGACATGTAATAATTGGGTCATGTCCCCCCAGGACGGATTATGGCTGTCCAGTGTCTACTATAGATCTTATGGTCCAGATTACAGTTTGGGGGTCTGACCTAAACAGTTGGGTGCCTCGCTTCCAGATAACAAGGACGAAAGCCGAAAATAGTGCATGTGGTAACATGTATATCTTTTTTTTAAAATAAACTTTATTAATTTTACAATTAAAACAGACAAACAACACATACATAAATGTGAAAGAGAAAAAAAATAAA